GGTTAGCATGCAAATTAACCCAAGAATCAAAGCCTAAACAACAAAACATTGTTGGATCAATCGTTTTCATTAAAAGTTTAGCAAAAAATCAATCATTTTCATCACCAAAACTCCAAAACTATTCGTTAATTGTTTTAACAAAAAAAAAAAACTATTCGTTAATGGTTGCATATTTCTTGTTTTCAACATTGGCTTTCACTTTTGCTTTTCTTCTGATAACCGTCGTGCCATTTTATTTGTCTTTTTACTTCCTTTATGCTTATATGATCGCATATATATATATATAATTTTTTTTGAATGAATGTAAAATTTGTATTAATATGCTTATATGATCGCATATTAATTCTCATAAACATGTCTTTTGCTTCACTTTTGCTTTCTTCTCGTAATGTTTCATGTGATTGCATTATAATACACCAAAAATAGAAGAAACAAAACGACAAAAATTCATTTCAATTTATGAAAAAAAAAATTGAATATAGAAATCTCCTTCCAATGATGCTTCTCGAGCTAAATGTGCCAACGAAATGGTCTTCACATGTGAAGAAGATTTGTAATCACACGACAAAGACACAAACACAGTTGCTTCCAGATCTCTCTCTACTCTTTTTCACTTCCCCATTATCTTCCCTTTGTCTTTATATATAATCTGCAAATCTGAAACCTCATTACTCCTTCTCAATCCTCATTGACAATGGTGTCTACTTCCTTAGGACCTTCGAGTCTACTCTCTTCTTCTTCTCGTGAGTTTCTCGATTCTTCTGGGTTTAGATTGATTTTGGGTTACGAGGGTTTTGCTCCTCGAGCTCGATTTCCCTCATTTCGACGATCTCAGATTCACTGTGAGTCAAAGGCGAGTTTACAAAATCTCTGTTTCTGCTTTGCTTTATCGTAAAAATCTGTTTTTTCGCTTTTGGGTTTTTTGAGAATTGAATGATTACTTCGAAAAGTTGTCAAATTTGTTATGTACTTGTCTTTGATATGTTTATTAGTTTTTTTTTGACATTGTAGTTTTATCCACACTTAAAGGTTCATTAATGTTTAATGTATTCAGGAAAAGGAAGTGAGGCCGTCTTCATTGTCCAGAGATGCTGCTTTGGGAACTAATGAATGGAGAGCTGTTCCTGATATTTGGAGATCATCTGCAGAAAAGTATGGTGATACAGTTGCGTTGGTAGATCCTTATCATGATCCACCTTTGAAATTATCGTATAAGCAGGTAAGGTTTCTTATTATTTGCTACTTTTTAAAATCTTATTGTCTAACTAGCAAAGAAGAATAGGGATAGAGGACCAATCCTTGAATTCTAGATGGTTTGAATCATTGAAATGATGGCTTTACTCAGGCATTCTCATTGTCGTTGTGTTATATGTACGTTCTGTTTTTAGGATCTTAGAATCAGCAGCATTATTACTCTGCTCCTACCTGCTGGCTACTGCAACTGTCTGTTATGCAGCGATCACTTAGTTAATAGATTGTCGTTATCGATATTAGTCCTTGGTGAGAAACAGAAGCCTTTAATCTTATTTACTTAATTTTCAGTTAGAACAAGAAATTTTGGACTTTGCTGAGGGCTTACGAGCTGTTGGAGTGAAAGCAGATGAAAAGATTGCACTTTTTGCTGATAATTCCTGCCGATGGCTTGTTTCAGATCAAGGTATGCGTTTGATGATATGGAACACACTAGCATATTATTGTGAAAATCAGTCTGTTACTCATTAGTTTATAGGAAGAGCATGAAGCATTAGTGTGATTGATTTCATTTTAATTTTGCATCACCAAGCCGTGATTGCTTTACACATTAACCAAAGAAGTACAACAATCTTTCGAGATACGTTTGAGATGTTGGTGATAAGCTCTGGTTTGCTATATTAATTTCACTTCTTGGTGCGATAATTCTAATTTACACGGCTCTTGTCATTTCTCCTTCTCTCTCTGCAGGTATTGGTATCTTTACGTACTGTTTATTACTATATGACAGGTATAATGGCCACAGGAGCAGTCAATGTTGTCAGAGGATCTAGGTCTTCTGTTGAAGAGTTACTGCAGATATACTGTCATTCTGAAAGGTATGCCAAAACTTTTGATATTTCGTTGTTTTGACGATGCATCAGCGTTCCTTTTAAATCACAAAAGATTCAAGGATATTCTTGGATGATAGACAGACAATGTTGTCCTTTAGTTTACTACGTGTCTTCAGTTATCTGTGCCAAATTTTGTTTGCAATACAGAGATCAAGAATTTTATGTAATCTGTATTGCAGTGTAGCCCTTGTTGTGGATAATCCTGAGTTTTTCAACCGCATTGCTGAGGCATTTACTTCCAAGGCATCTGTGAGGTTTTTGATACTGCTATGGGGTGAGAAACCATCGTTGGTTACGCAGGAGATGCAGATTCCAGTTTATAGCTACACAGATATTAAAAACCTAGGACAAGATAGACGTGCAAACTTTTCAGAATCTAATGATACCAGTACGTTGAGGATCTAAGTTTTTCTCCAAGGCTCTAAAAGAATAAAATCATGATGCTAACAAATGAATGACTGCAGGGAACTACGAATATGAACTCATCGATTCAGATGATACAGCGGCGATTATGTATACCAGTGGAACCACAGGAAATCCAAAAGGCGTTATGCTTACACATCGGAATCTTTTACACGAGGTGCAAGCCAATACTTATTTTCAACCATTTATTTGGTGATTCTGTCTCTTTTAAATTCCAAGTTTTCTTATTACTTTCTGAAAGAATAAGTTCGAACCTTTGCTTCAATGTTTTCTCAAACACTTTCCAGATAAAACATTTGTCCAAATATGTACCTGCTGAAACTGGCGATAGATTTCTAAGCATGCTTCCATCATGGCATGCGTATGAACGTGCTTGTGAATACTTCATATTCACATGTGGAGTTGAGCAAATGTATACGACTATAAGATTCTTAAAGGTAATTAGCATTATCCATTTTTTTTTTAAGTCTGAATTCTTGTGCAATCATTATACTTATATCGAGTGGTGTTGGTCCTCTGTTATTGTGAGACTTCACTCACTTCCTCTGATCAACACTTTTGTTTTTCTTTTGACAATGGGAGGAAAATATGATGAACTTTCATATCGTTATAGGATGATCTAAAGCGGTATCAACCACACTATCTTCTTGCCGTTCCTTTAGTATATGAGACACTTTACAGGTTTGCCACATAGTCCATGATTTTAATCATAACTACTTCTCAGCATTTTCAAACATGATTTGGTTATTAAACATCATTTTTTCGCTCTTTTCTTTTGTTTCTCTTTGAGAACTGCAGTGGGATTCAAAAGCAAATTTCTACAAGTTCTGCTGCTCGTAAATTTCTAGCGCTTACACTGATTAGAGTCAGTCTGGCATATATGGAGATGAAAAGGATTTATGAGGTTCATGACAAAAATGCTGCCCTCTTTAAACATTTTGTTCTTACCGCACACTTTGTTTTAAGAATATTTTCTGTTTATCCTTATTTGTGGTGCTTAAATTTCTGATATGGTTTTTGGTCTGGTTTACAGGGTATGTGTCTGACAAAAGAGCAAAAGCCTCCAATGTATATTGTTTCTTTGTTCGATTGGTTGTGGGCGAGAGTAGTTGCTGCCTTATTGTGGCCATTACATATGTTGGCCAAAAGGCTTATCTACAAGAAGATTCAAGCGTCTATTGGGATGTCGAAGGTAGTACACAAATTATATTTTACTATTTTGTTTTGTTGGATATATATTTCTAGTTACCGACTGATATGATTTTTGGTTTCCACAAGGCTGGTATAAGCGGAGGTGGTAGTTTACCCATTCATGTTGACAAGTTTTATGAGGTTAAGCCATCTATATTTTTCTCTTGAATATATTCTTTTCGTCCTTGAACAAGTTTTGATATGTACAAGCATTTTGTTCCAAAAAAATTGTTCAGGCCATCGGTGTGATTATACAAAACGGTTATGGTTTGACAGAGACCTCGCCGGTTGTATGTGCACGGATGCTTAGCTGTAATGTAAGTCATTCCTGCTTCTGTTTACTAATCGAGTTTTGAACAAACAACATTTCGAAGTTTCCTTTTTGAGTTTTTGCATAGGAATTAATACTGTATTTTGTATCGTCTTCTCTTTTTTTTTTTATTGATGAAGGTTATCGGCTCAGCGGGGCATCCAATGGATGGTACAGAATTCAAAATTGTTGATCCTGAGACTGATAATGTTCTCCCTCCTGGTTCAAAGGGCATTGTCAAAGTCAGAGGTCCACAGATTATGAAAGGTTATTATAAGGTAGTAATTGTATTTATAACTTACTCTGATCATAATATTACATTGAAGTTTGTTGATTCATCAAGCATCATTGTTGTTTGTAATTGTGCAAGGGCTTTTGCGTTGATAGTTAAATCGGGTTTTAACTCATATTTCTGTTGGTATGTGCTCAGAATCCATTGACCACAAAGCAAGTTATAGATGAGAATGGATGGTTCAATACAGGAGATACGGGTTGGATTGCTTCTCATCACTCAAGAGGACGGAGTCGCCGCTGTGGAGGTGTCATCGTTCTTGAAGGCCGCGCCAAGGACACTATTGTACTTTCCACTGGTATAGTCACAAACATGTTCAAAACTGAACCCAAAATTGAACAAAAAGAAAGAAAGCTATACTGTGATAACATTATCATCGTTATAGGTGAAAATGTGGAACCATCGGAGATTGAAGAAGCTGCCATGAGAAGCAGTTTGATTGAACAAATCGTGGTTATTGGACAGGTGCTTGAATTCTCTTAGTGAATTACAAAAACCTGAAGTATCGAATTGACAATTCCGCTTGTTTCTTGTTATTCGAACTCATTTCTCATTTCGCATTTCACAGGATCAACGCCGGCTTGGAGCTATCATTATCCCAAACAAAGATGAAGCAGAAAGAATAGATCCTGAAACATCCAAACTAAAGAGCTTGGTCTACAAAGAACTGAAGAAATGGTAATAAACACTTCTTCTAACTTCAGGTAGAAGTATTAGATCTTATATTCACTTTGTTCAAACAATGTTGCAGGACATCAGAATGCTCGTTCCAAGTCGGACCGTTCTTGATCGTAGACGAGCCTCTCACGGTAATTACATGTAATCCTTTCTTATTAATGTTTGAAAAGATCGAAAAAACCTTAATCAAGAAAACTGTTTTATGACACAACATTGCAGATAGACAATGGCTTAATGACACCAACGATGAAGATTAGAAGGGATAAGGTCGTGGCTAAGTACAAAGACGAGATAGATCAACTTTACAATTAACAATACTTGTGTTAATAACTCTGGATCGGATCTTGCTCATGTTTTTTTTTTTGTGGATATTAAACAATCAAACCACACCCTAATATATGAATAATTTCTTTATAAAAATTCGATATTTTAAGCACAATCGTCCTCTTTGCATAGAGATCACTAAACTTCCAAGTATCACCAGCTCACAGTTTCTTACAAAGTTTCCACAGTTCTGTAATCAGTGTCAAAGAACACAGAGAATAAGATTGTAACCAATCCTTTATACAAGTTCACACACTTTAGTTTATGCTCTCACCGAAGAAGAAGAAGCTACGTCGTATTGATTGTATTACAAATAGTCTATTTGTCTAAAGTCCCACATCGATAAACTAAAGAAGCGTTGGTGTAAACTTTGTACTATATAAAAGAAGCTAAGCACAACTCACAATTCATACCTTTCTCGGCCTTTTGGCTAAGATCAAGTGTAGTATCTGTTCTTATCAGTTTAATATCTGATATGCGGTGCCATCGGCTCGCACGATATTAACTCTATTTTTTAAGGGAGAAAGCCCAACAAGGTAGCTTGCTATCTGGGCTTTTGAGAGTTGCCCATGCGTTGCACTATTGCACGGGCTTGGCTCAACCCGTCAATTTAGAAGTCCAATTTTGACCTCCCATAATTAAATTTGAATAATTCAAAAATAAAACTCTGCAAAGCATTAATCAAATTATTCACTTGGCAGT